GGACCCCGGAACTGAAGTTTTGCTTAATGGGCTCTGGAACATTTGGCAACTGACCCTGATCTTCATCTAAAAATTATGAGGCCCATGTCTGGACGAATGGGTACGGGAAAAAACAAAGTTGTCGAATTTGGGAAGATATTAATCCACATGAGATCGGAAAGCATCCAATGCATCCCGAAAAAGTCACGGGACGTTAGCCAGGTCATCACTGTTGACGGCGAGCACTATAGGTCGATGATCACCAACTTCTTTTTGCCTGGATTGTATGATCTGGACACCAATGACATGTGGTTTCCAGAGGACGGTGCTGAGTGCCACACAGTTCATGCCACATTGGATATTCTGCACTAGCGATTTGAGGGTATGATGTCACGTGAAGGTGATGTGACCTGGCTACCGAGATGGTGCGATTTGACTCCGTTAGATTTTTGCTAGTGGAGGTTTTTCAAGTCGAAGGTGCATGCGAATGAGCCACAAGTCATAGCGGTCCTCAAAGCCAATATAACCCATGTCATTGGACGTTTCGGATGCGCTCCACTCAGAGAAGCCGTGGCGGACATTTGAATGATGTTATATTCCACACATAATGGCATTAATAAGTCTTTCAGACGAATGAACATTCCGATGATATCTCACACATACTTTGTTTTATTTAAAATTGAAGATAGGACCACTTCGCCTATTTGTGTGAATTCTGTTTAGCAGCTGTGATGTTGATCACAGTATAATAAAGAAATCATATATTTCTATATTTTCTCAGATCGATTATCAATCAAAAAATGACTGAAAGAGATTGCTGAGTGATTTCACTCAGTTGATATAGGACCATGATGGAAACTCCTAATCTCAGTACCATCCACAAGCTTGCAGACCTTGGTCACCAATACATTTTCCATACGGCCAGAAAATCAAGGCTCCCAACACTATTTTTCTCCATTTCATCAAATTCTACGAAATGAACTCTGATATGAATTCAAAATTCGTTAAAGGAAGCTTTTCATCACAAATACTCGTAATCACTCCAGTAGCAAGCATTATACAAGTTCCAAAAAATTTTCACCGCAAATCAGTACCCAGAAGTCGGTTTTTTCTTATCAAAAGAGTCATGGAATGTGCGTTGAATTCATGAATATTTCATACGAATACTTCATTCCAGAAAGACAAATTCCAGAAAATAATTTCAATCATCAGAAAAAATATTGATTTTCCATACATTCAGTACAAAAATGAAAAAAATAACTACAGAATCTGCTGCTTGAAGTCAATCATGAAAAAACTATGAATTGACATAGTTTTGAATGTAATGAAAACATTTTTCCATACCAGAACCATAGCAATGTCTCTTGGCTCGAAATTTCGACTTTCAAACTAGAAATTTCGATTTTATTCTCAAAATTTCGATTTTGAACTCGAAATTACGACTATAAACTCAAAAATTTCTTTTTCAATCTCGAAATTTCGACTGTAATTCCATAATTTCGACATTGATCTCAAAATTCCGACTTCAATCTCGAAATTTCGACTTTAATCTCATACTTTTAAATTTCAACTCGAAAATAAAATTTAGGCTTTAACCTTGAAATTTCGACTTTAATCTCGTAATTTTGACTTCAAAACTCGAGATTCAGTGAATGTCTGTATTCCGTAAATGTCTACATGTATGAAAGTTGAAATGTATTCATTTTGCTAAGTAGTAACGTATCTAAGTACAACGGCAATTCAAGCAAACACAATCATTATTTTTGTCAATGTCCTAGTATCACCTCAACCATGACGCTGAGTTATCTTCATTCATATTATTTATTCATGGGTTATTGTCGTCGACCAACACTTGTGTCTTTAGTTGCGATGCTTGTTACACGAACTTGACGTGTCACGAATCCATTCGTTCCCCTTATCAGAATGTTTGTCAAATGGATTTGCCACTATCAGTTTGAACAGGTCAGGGCCGGTTTCAACTATAATTTTCCGGGTATCACTAGATAATGAGAGTGGTCAATGGCAAGGTATACATTTTGGTCTGCTATCAATAGCAGGCGACTATGAATGTGCTAGTATAATAGTTATGAACAGAATCTAGGATTACACATTTCCTTGTGCTGTTAACACTAAACAATATCAGGAAAGGTAAAAAGAGTTTGATATTTTCATAATTCTGCTTTCTGAAAGAGTTCATTTGACCCTGAAGGGTCATATGGTATATATGATAAGGATTAACTCGGATCACTACCAATAATGAAGCCGAGAGAGGAGTGGCTGCAACATTACTGTAGGATTTTATGAATCTTGATCTCGCAACACAAAGCATGGCATAAATTGAAGATTTCAATTTGTTTGGGAAGTTTTCTCCGTTTCAATGTCTGTGTTTTTGTAGTAGTTCAACTTTTTGCCTCTTCTACCCATCACTGTATGATGTCGTTGAGCGATACACTGCCACTTTTTCTCTACGGATTTCAAGTGAAACAAAGCGCTGCAAAAACCAATGATAATGTTAATAAACGTGAAAATTTTCTTCCGGAGATTTCAGCATCGGAAGATGAGCCCGGAAGTGGTCGCCCTACAGTAATCCAGGACGGAGAAGTGGGTGCCTCATGATTTGAACGATTGACAGATATTATCACGTTTCAAAGTTTGCTCTTCATTGCTTTCGCGCAACCAAAACGACACTTTTTGTATCAGATCGTCACGTGTGATGAAAAGTGGATCCTCTACAACAACAGGAGACGTTCAAAACACTGGTTGGACACCCATGAGCCACACAGGCACTTGTTCAAAGCAAAAATCCACCAAAAAAGGCCATGGTACCTGTGTGATGGTCAGTGACTGGTGTGATTGACTAAAAATCTCGGTAATCGAGCCAAACCGTCATAGCTGAGTCCTGTTGTGGGAAAATCGACGAAATATACGAAAATGTCGTTAGCAGAAGCCGGTACTGTTTAATGGAAGAGTTTCGATCCTGCTCCACAACAACGTCCGTCCGCACGTTTCACAAATCACCGATCTAAAGTTAAACGAACTGTGCGTCGAAGTTCTGCCTCATTCACCATACTCCAAAGACCTTTTTGCCAACTGACCACCATTTTTTAGGCACTTCGATAACTTTCCCGCCGTTAGAACCTTCGCCAATCACGACAAGGTAAAAAACGGCTTTTGTCCACTCCATCTGATCCCTAGCACACAATTTTCATGACGGCAAAAATGTATTGACTTGTGTTACGTTGGCAGAAGTGCACTAATTCAAATGATGCCTATTTCTATTAGCAGGGGAGCCCACGATGCAAAATGTGGATTTACTCGAGCGTCATTGAGACATATTAGGTTGCAAAGCTGAGATGATAAGGAGGAAAAAAAATTATATAATATATACCTTTCCATCGGTGGGAGAAGCGGCAATAGATTTTAAAATATGTGAAAAAATACTATTGCATGGACACACTCGAGCGCGTCAGATATTGATAGCATCGATGTCCTACGTTATTATAATGTGCAAAAAAATTTCGCCATTTTGAAATACTCAAGAGCGTCAGATTAAGATATATATGGTTCATCTTTATGTTTTAGATGTACTGTCTCATAATCTGACGATTATCTATAGGGATTTGCTTAATCTGACAGAAACAATATTTTTTTTATTCATTGAACTTAATTAATTGGAAAGCTCAGGAATTAGCATGATAATAATTGAATGTATGTTTTTTTTAAGTAGAATACTTATATTTATAGAAAGATAATTTTTTTTAAATGCTCCAAAAAATTTTATAATTTGTAATCAATTGAATAATTATTGAAGAAAACAGAAATGAAACTTTCTATGTTTTTACCACTTTTATTTGTAACTAACGTTACTGCAGTTTCGTCCTATAAGGACAATTTCAAACTTATATATTGTATAAGTTTGAAAATGTCCTTCTATATTGTATAAATTTGAAAATGTCCTTATAGTTCGAAACTGCAGTAACGTTAGTTACAAATAAAAGTGGTAAAAACATAGAAAGTTCAATTTCTCTTTTCTTCATTATGATTTCCTACCACGTAGTAACGGCTACATCCATCAACTAATTGATTAATGGATCATCATCTTCATCACGAACGAGTCTCTGTGTTGTGATGGCGTCATGGCAACAGAATTCAGAGTGGGGACGGAGTGAGAGTGTAATAGATAGAGAAAAAGTAAATGGAGAATAGAGGAATGTGAACTCGTAGAGGGAAATATAGGTATCACACAGCTGCACGCATTAAACTTTATCGACGAATTTTTGTTATTTCGGCTTGTGGAAATCGTCAGAATATATATTTTTCGTTAGCCTTGAATTATTTCCTTCAAAATGAAAAAAATTAGCTACTCTCGAGAATGTCGAAATGACGTTATTTTTTTACAACTTTGCTGCCCTCCCCTTTCCTTATGTCACTCTCAAATTGTCAGATTACTGGAATATGCACTTTTTAGCAGGTAATCAACTCACCCTACCTTGATCTGACGCGCTCGAGAATTTCTGATGATCAATTTTTTTTTATTCATCTGATCCTTCATCCCTCACAGGCGGCCTCATATATGGGGCTCATATTTGGTGGAGGTACTCAACCGAGTACAAGGTATCCCCCTGTATATTAATTTGCCGCGCTTTAGTAATTAGTAAATCCCGAAAACCCCGCGTGGGCTCCCCTATTTTATTGAATTGAATGAGTAGAATGAGTATTCAGTTTGAAGTAGGTTAAGTATGGTTAAGAGAAGAAAAGAGATATTCTCCAAGACATAGATGATGTATGAAGTGCATTGCAATCGAATCGATTCACCCTGAATAATTTATTACATATTGAGACTTGAACTTGAACGGTATTCATTAGAAAAATCTATTTTAGGTAAGATCAAAAGCATTTTCGAAGCTACTGATAAATGATCTTTATTTTCGAAAGGCTAGAATAGACTTCTGACAATCATGTTTGATAAACCCACGTCAAAGACCTTTCATCGTTTCTCATTATTTTCTCTTCTTTTTCAGACATACCCCCATTGGTCCGACAAGAAGAATGTGATACTCTCATCTTTCTTCTGGGGTTACGTTCTCACCCAAATTCCAGCAGGACAAATCGCAGAGCGGTACGGGCCCAAAAGGTTTTTGGCCGCCGCCATCATGATTTGCTCGGTCTTTTCTTTACTCATACCAGTTTTCGGGGCATGGTTTGGATATGCTGGAGTGATGATATGCAGGATTGTCCAGGGATTGATGCAGGGATTCATTTTTCCATCTATTCACCATTTGATAAGCGCATGGGTGCCCTTGAGCAACAGAGCAAAAATTGCTGGATTCGTGTATGCAGGTAGGACATGACTCAATACTACTGAAAAAATAATTGGGAAAAATTTTAATCAACTAAATTATCGTCGGGAAGGAATTTTCATCTGATCAAAATCCTATTCATAATTCTATCAAATTATAGATTTCAATATTTGGGTGTAGAATTATATCAAATTACTTGGAATCAAATGTGATGGATTTGTCCAATACTTGAAAATCCGAAATATATTCAAGAAACACTTCTTCATGATATGAAGATCCGAAATATATTCAAGAAACACTTCTTCATGATATTTTTACAGGATATTTCACAGAAACAGGAGTATATTAGTTGCCTTGTGGTTTTTGTCCAAAACTTGATATTGGCCAAACGGTAAACACCTTTTTCAAAAGAATAAAGGAACATATAGAAGCATTTTTCGAAAATGAAGGCTAGTTTCACATTTGCTAACAATCTTTTGGTAGAGGGTGATGGGTTCAACCATGACTATGACGTATCACATTTCAAATCATACCTAGAAAATCACTCGCAAATGGTGAAACTCAATCTCTCGAAATGTTTGGAAATTGATGGATTTGAAATTCAAAAAATTTACCGAATTACAAAATTGAATCGAAGTTTCACCCTCTGTTGAATGTTTTTTCTAATTTGAAAATCGATATTTAGTTTAGTACATGTCGATTCAATGAGTTGGTAAAATATTTTTGATGATGTTTGAATATTTAGTCAGTTCATACTTAAACTCTGGTGGTAGTCATTGGGTAGTTAATTTTTTTTTTAAACGGTCAAATTTATATTCAGTCCATATTTGAACTCTGGTAAAATTATCATCAATCTGAATATGTTTGATACCAGATTATCAGGTACGCTTGTGACGGAAGTTATCAGCTAGCAGCTTTTCTTCCCCAGCGATCGAAGAAAATGTATACACTCAAGAATTTACCTATTTACTAAACTAACATCATTACCTTCTTTCATTTCACCTTCTATTGTTATGAAGTCGAGAAGAAAAGTTAGTTTGTTGATGTGTATATGTTCTGGAAAAAACATTACGATTCTGATCTTCTTTTTTGAAGCACACCATTGCAATTTTCTATTATAGGAGGAAGTAAAAACAAGTGTGTTCATCATCAATCAATAATTAATTGTATTTTCTCTGTATACCTAGAAATATCGGAAATGAATCCAGTTTTTCAATTCTCAAATGTGGAACAAAAAATAACCGTCACTATCAATCAGAAGAAAATGTACGCACTAACATTTCAGGAATAATATTTAGAGAAAAATTAGTGAATCAAAAGTTATTGGTATGTTATGTTGTTATAGCTTTTTGAATGGTAGAGATATGTCGTCCTAGGCCTAGGCCTCACTTCGTCTGCATTTTTCTATGTGATAATATAGAGAAAGAAATATACAAGAAACGGAATATTTGGAAGCTATCGATGGCAGGACCGTGAGGAAAAGTTTTTAGCTCTTCAATCTCAGACACAAAATTGTTTTGAAGTACTATTAGTAGTTGGGCACTGAGAAAAAATCAATCATTTCTGAAATGAAGTATTTATTGCAACAATGAAAGTAAATCTTTCATTTATACTGCAGAAAAATATAGAAAATATAAAACATCATACATGTAGTGTTCACATATGCGGTTATCCCAATGTCAGTGTAAAGGTCCAATGAAATATCACTTCTCACCAAAAAGATTACTTCATTCAGAATAATCCATTAGCAAAAACTACATCCTCTGCAGAGAAATCTATCCAGAATCTCAAGTAATGATGAAGTTACCAATAGTGCATACTCAATTTGAATTAGCCTATACTCTGAAAGGTTTGATTGAGGAACTACTCCAATTATTTCCAAATTATTGAATCTTTGCAAATATCCTGAAACTAGTCGATCCATTTTTGCAAATGCGACATCAATTTGCTAGAGGTTATGTCGACGGTTTTGAGTTGGATGGTGACGTAATCAAAGATTCTCAACTGAAATATGGTTTTCATTGATTCATTCATCTAACATGATGACAGATGCAATCAAAGTGAATTGTGTCTAGTTCAACGAACTCTTTGATATTCTTCCCGCTGCTCTACTAATATTTTTCTTCAGCAGATTTAAAATAACTTTTGGATCAATTTTACTGATCTTGAGGTTAATTAGATTGTTATAAGATCTGGAGTTCTCAACGGCCACTCTAAGATTCCTCGTTTTTTGAGAGAGGGAAATATAGGTATTACACAGCTGCACGCATTAAACTTTATCGACGAATTTTTGTTATTTTGGCTTACGGAAATCGTCAGATTATATATTTTTCATTATCCTTGAATTATTTCCTTCAAAATAAAAAAAAATTAGCTACTCTCGAGAATGTCGAAATGACGTTATTTTTCTACAACTTTGCTGCCCTTCCCTTTCTTTACGTCACTCTCAAATTGTCAGATTACTGGAATATATATTGACTAACCCTACCTCAATCTGACGCGCTCGAGAATTTCTGATGATCAATTTTTTTTACTAATTTGATCCGTTATCCCTCACAGGCGGCCTTATATATGGGGCTCATATTTGGTGGAGGTACTTAACCGAGTACAAGGTATCCCCCTGTATATTAATCTGCCGCGCTTTAGTAAATCCCGAAATCCCCACTTGGGCTCCCCTATTAATAGGAATAGATTCCATTCTATTCTTTTTTGCAGAAAATAATTGAGTAATGAACTGATAACTGATAACATTTTATTTTCATTGATAATACCTAATAACCCTTATAGAACCAACATGTATTATTCGATCATTATATCATTATCTCATCAATTGAGTAAGTGATAAATAGAATGTGATAATAATCTTACAGACAATTCTTTTTCTTCAAAATAATTGAACATTACTTGGGAAATTATCAATGATAACGTATAATCTGACTAAGAGACTGAATATCAATCAACATGTCAAAGAAGTTCCCAATGCTGATTGAAGGGTTGCTTTTGTTTTTTTTTTTATTTTCAATATGCCATTTAGTTGCGCATGTTTCAACTTATCATTAATGATGCGACTCAAAACTTTCATCGTTAATGCTGAAATATCTTTTAAAGTTGATCGGATTTACTAACTACTCTGTTCTAAAAATGGGGTGAATTTTAATTTTTCTTGAAAAATATAAATAATTATTTGTTCATCAATTTCTATTTTGTCCTATTCAAAGAAGTCCCACCCAGATATAATACACTTGTGCGTTTTTTCCAATTATCGAAGCAGTTCTGATATGCACTTTTTGGTATGTCCTAGAGCCGTCTCAGCAACTTGGTTTTCATCTCCCCAATTCTTGCAAAACTCCGTCCTCTCATGAGCCTCTTCAATCTTGAGAAAAGGAAAGTGTCGCAGGGAAGCAAATCTGGTGAATACGGTGGCTGAGGCATGTTTTTGGCCCAAAATAACAAATAAGCAACGACGAGTGACCAAGTGCATTATTGTGATGCAAAATCCATATTTTTTTTCACGATACTGGTATTTGAAGAAAAAAGGGAGCAAAACCTTGACTTCGGATCGAGCTTGACGTGATTTTTTTGGTCTTGGCTCTCCTGGGCACTTTCATTGGGACGACTAGACTTTTTTTTCGATGTCATAACATTATACTCATGATTCGTCACCAATTATGATCCTCTTGAGCAAATTTAGATCGCTGTTGACGTCATTCAACAAATCCGGAGCGATGCTCTTGCGAAGGTTTTTATGTTTTGGTCAAAATTCAGCATTCCGGAACGAACTTTGCTGCCACAGGCTTCATGCCCAAAATTGTCAAAAAGTTTGCATGACATGAGCCAACCAATATGGCGACATCCTCAGCAACTTCTCTAGTAGTGATTTGACGATTTCTAATTACATTCCTTCTCACTTCCTTAACATTGTCATCGGTTTTTGATGTGCTGGGACATCCAGGGCGAGTATTGTCATTCACATTTTTTTGACCTTCTGTTCAACGCTTTTACCACTTGTAAACATTTTCTTTGACACAGAGTATGATCACCGTATGCCACTGTAAACGTTCCAAGTGTTTTTGAGTACTCAAATCCACTTCTCACACAAAATTTGATGCAAGTTCTTTGTTGTTTTTTTTGATACCAGAGAATCGCAAAACTCTCCCTTGTTTGTCTCTCACCATCAAAATTAACATTCTGAACAGCTGAAACTGTGGGGATTGTACCAGCATAAAAAACAAATCGGTAATTGAATGTAAATACCCCACGAAATTTCATCGTTTACCTTATTTTTTGAACAGCCCAATATTCACAAACCGTCAAACAATCGATGGATTTGTCTTTCTATTCGTGCTAATTAGTGGATGGATTAAAACAAGTGTATAAACGCATTCCATCTCAACAAAATAGGTTCCAAAATTGATGGTAAACAACTATTCAGTGGATAGTTGAGGTTTGCAACTTCAGCGTTCAACTTTCAACTGATATATTATTCAATAACTGGCACTGAAAATTTTTCAGTGTGAGATTAGCCACATGAGAAATAATATGTATATTACCAAATTCCACTTTTCTCAAGCAACTTCTGTGAAACTTAGTCGTTAGTTTTCCGACACCTCCATTTCTAAAATTCACACAATATATTGAATTTACTGTATATTTTACTCTTGTAACAAGCAGTAGTTCATATCATACCTAGAAAATCACTCGTTATTGGTGAAATAATATCTCTTTCGAACGAAGACAACCCAATGCGGTATGCTACAGGGTTCAGTGCTTGGTCCCACACTGTTCCTACTATATGTCAATAATATCACTAAACTTGATATATCTGTGAAGTATACATTATTTGCCAATGATACTACCATATTTTGGCATGATAATGATGAGCACTTATTACATCACAAGATACAAGTAGATATTGAGGAAATCAAAGCCTGGTGCGACGATAAGTGCTTGTCTTTAATGTTACTAAATCTGATCTATTAACCTTCCGCTGTGAGATTTCTGCTCTGAGCTTAGGCCCGAATAACAATAAACATGTTTCTCCACCATATTTCTAGGATTTCACATTGATAATAAATTGAAATTTAACGACCATGTCACAAAATTGTGCTAAAAATTGTCATCTGGATGCTACGTTATTAGGATAATAACGCATGAATGGAATACACACATCGGAAAAGTCTAGGGATATTTTTATAACATACTATTTTTTAGTTTTGCTTATATGCGCACTCAGTATTTCTGACCATTTAATAAATTTTGTTGTAAGTTAATCACCCGTCAACTTTTTTTCCCTGAAGCGATCTAAAAAAAATATCCCTAGACTTTTCCGATGTGTGTATATAATTGCTCAGCAAGAAGCTTGCAGGAAATTGAATCATTAGGATTGTTTGAAAAAATTTTTAAAAAACAGCTAATCACTTATACATTCGACAATATGGGGGAATAATTTAATAGTGAACCTTTTTGTTCCCATTGAAATACGCTTGTCTCCTCATTAGGATTGATTTTAATATGTTTCCATAATGTAGCTGTATATATTCATCCATTTCACTAGCTACATGACTTCCACATTTTACTTATAGGTACACATTTTATTATTATTGAGTCTGTAACAGTACCATTTTATTATTTTCAACATTTCAACTTGTTTTACCTATGCAATGATTGTGTCGATAAGAACTGTTTCTTCTGACATCAAAGCAGGTTTATTTGATTGATTGATTGTATTATTATTTCTCAGGTGGTCCTCTCGGAACCGTCATGGTGATGCCAATAGCTGGATATTTCTCGGATTCCAGGATGGGTTGGCAGACTGTGTTTTATCTGCTTGGAGGAGTTGGTCTGGTATGGGTTGCAATGTTTCTGATTTGCGGTTCAGATAGCCCAACCCATCATAAGACTATCACGAAAGAAGAGCTCAGATTTATCCAAGATGGCGCTCCTCCGAAGAAGAAAACAGAGGTTTGCAATAATACTAATTTCAATCTACGTACTTCGGCTTTCGTTAGTAATGATGGCTCATTGACCACAAATCTTCATGCCATAAAATCAATTATTATCTTGAAGAGACTTTATAAAAGATACTTCTTGACATTATTTCCAATTTTCCATATTATGAGAAGTAAATAATTATAGATTAATAGAGAATCTGCTCTTGAAGGCAAAGTTTGAAAATTCGACAAGTTACTTTGACTGAACTTTTCTATGGTTTATATCACGCAGTAACTTTTCCGGGTGAAATTTTGAGTTTTTTCTTCATAACATCCGAGAACAGATTCTCTGTTGTTCTTATATTTGTTCATTTTTCATATAGTGAAAACTTAAAAACTCGAAAAATCATCAAGAAACATTGACTTTTCCACAAAAATGATGAGTTTTAATTATTATATAATGGAATAGCTACGATAATATTGAACTTTTCTAACAGTTTTATTCAGTATCAAAGTCTTGAACAATTATCACTCTACTCAGTCAATCACTTTTTCACGCCCACTCAAAAAACATGACTTTGCATTTTTTATAAAAACCTATAATCGTTATCTCCATCAGTATCACAACCCCAGTATCATTATCGAACCTGAATTATTGTTTTAGAAACTTCCAACACCGTGGAAAGAAATACTGAGGTCAAAACCATTCTGGGCGATATTGATATGTCACTTTGGCGACTTGTGGGGATTTTGGACTATGCTCACAGAAATCCCTACGTACATGGACAAGATTTTAAAATTCGACATAAAATCGGTAAGTGTTCAGCTAACGCAACCTCAAGGTTGGATACTATCATTACTCTTTTACAGAACAGTACTTTGTCTGCCCTTCCATACTTAGTCTATTGGCTGTTAAATTTGGTGATGAGTCCTATTGCCGATTACCTTATTACCAAAAAGATTGCGTCTGTCGGTGCCAGTAGAAAAATATTTAACAGTATAGGTAGGAACCTATGCCTCAGAATTACAAGTTGAATATGTCTGAGAGCGTGTTGAGAACCACTGGTTTGAATCGTTTATTCACTTGTTTATTCATAGAACATATTTATCAGTTTGTTACTCAACTAGTTATTACTGCCTTGAACTTGTTGAAGTTTCTTTGACAAGACAATTTCGATCTTAATTGAATATCTGATTTTTGATCCAGCGGTTCTCAATGTATGACGAGTGAAGGACTTTTAGCAAAGTTGTTGGGATGTATCTTAGAGGCCAGTCGATTAAGGCATGAATAACAATCACACTTGTAGTTGATTTTTGACAGGATGATAAAGAACAAGGTTCATAATGGTATGAATTTCAAAAAAAGTGGGTTTACTGGAGGCAGTCAGCTGCCATAATAGCAGAGGGGAATACATACTATACAGATTAGTTTGAAGTGAATATACGAAATCGCAGAAAAAAAAATCTGTTTGAAAAAAATTGTAGTGGTAAAAAAATTACTTTCACTTTGAAAGTATTCAGAGGATGGCGGAGAAGAATGAATAGTGAATTTCCAATCATTATCCTTCAATTTATTATATATTGTTGTCCATTGAGTTTACAACTTTTTTTTTTATTTATTGCACAATCAAATTTTGAATACCTACAAAAGTTATTAGATGTTCGATAAATTATTATTAGTAGTAGTGGTATTGAATGCTTTCGGAAAGGTATCGATTCGAACACCATATAAAGCATGTATGAAAACATCAATTTCGTTCAAGAATGAAGTATTTTCAGGAACAGCGAAAATACATTTTCTAGGTACTTGCTTTTCATATATTTCTTTATTTTTTTCAATCGTCACATATCCAATGTAGCCACAAACAAATCACATTGACACAACTTCTCTCATGAGGCGCATTAGCAGAATTTACTTGGATTTACATTTTTTCATTTTTTTTTTGAATAATCGTTCACTTCATCTTATAATGCAATGATATTCAACACCATCTAAAATCTTCTCAAATTATTTTCATAATGAAATATACATTTTTATTACAAATCCTATGTGCTGTTTGGTTCGAAGCGACTGAATATGGTTATCAAACATCTACTATTGGCGGTATACAAATTTCGATAGTGCAATTTATAAAAAAACTCTTTTGTATTTGTAATGAAGCGATCAAACCTTATTATAAACTTAATGGCCACACTGTATATGTATAATAAATTTCGTTATATAATCATTCACTGTCAATGAATTTGAATCAAATCATAATATGTTTCAGAAGTCATTTGTCTCAACTTAATTCCAAGCCTTGTGCTTGAAAGAATGACGATGACTCCGGTAAATAAAAAATCATTCATTGAATTGAATCAGTTTATTTACAAACACCCTATAGAAAAATTTCCTATTCACCAGAAAATTGTTCAAGTTCGTATACTTTCCACCAATACTCACGATAATATAACAAATATAACATAAATAAAAAAAACTATAGTATTCAAAAACCATTGGTTTAATACATCATTTATGAGGTGTTTCATCGCTTAACCTTTATATCAATGAAATATTTTAAGAGTGAGACTGAGTTTGAAGGTGATTGACAATGTTTCATGATGAATTTCACTAGTCCGCATTGTATACTATATAAAATGATTTGAAATCCCTGAAACAACTAAAAAAGAAGAATTAAAAATTAATAGCTGAAAATAACAATTATATTAAGCAAAATAAACCTGAAATGAAATAATAGTAAAATAGAATACAAGTAAAAGTAGAACAATTGAATGAATTAAAATACAAAAATGGAAAAAGAAAATAAAAAGTGGAGAGATTCCAAGTCACGTTAGTTCACGACGTTTCGATTGTTAGTATCTACAATCATCTTCGGGTGATGACTGGACTGATTTCTCCGAGAGATGACTATTTATAGGTCGTTCGAGTACTTTCACTATCCCCGCTTTCCATTTTCCGCTTCACTGTGATTCCAAGAATTGCATTTACCGGATACCCTGAGAGTGCGGATAATCCTATATTGGTGAAACTAAGAGGCCATTGAATGTTCGCATTGCCGAGCACAAGAAACACACACAGCGAGGAGAAACCAGCAAATCAGGAATAGCAGGTTTGGACACATCAACACAACATCGAGTGGTCCCAAGCTTGAGATCTTGCACAGAGAGGAACATTGGCTTAGGAGAAAATTCAAGGAAGCCGTACGTATTCAGGCAAGCCAGCGTAGAAATAGGCAACATATGGAAACCCATCATCAAGCGAAAAATGGCCAACTCCCGCCAAACGTTCATCTCCCACGGAACCAGTGAAGCGGAAAATGGAAAGCGGGGATAAGTGAAAGTACTTGAACGACCTATAAATAGTCATCTTTCGGAGGAATCAGTCCAGTCATCACCCGAAGACAATTGTAGATACTAACAATCGAAATGTCGTGAACTAACGTGACTTGGAATTTCTCCACTTTTTATTTTTATTTTCTTTTTTCCTTTTTTTATTTTTATTTATTCAATTGGTCTACTTTCACTTGTATTATATTACAGTATTATTTCATTTCCGGTTTATTTTGATTAATATAATTGTTAGTTTCAGATATTCATTTTTAATTCTTCTTTTTCAGTTGTTTCAGGGATTTCAAATCATTTTATATAGTAGGCAATGGAAGTCCGAACTAGTGAAATCCATCAGTGAGACTGAGATTTTAAGTTCTGATCTACATGACTCTTGATTTGAGTAAAATTATATACCATGAGCACGATCTGCTGCATGATCATTCCTATTTGGGAAATTTTTGACAGCCAAGGGACAATATTCCATATTCCTGTTGTCCTTATTATGATAGGGACCACCAAATGCGATTTTGTAGAAAAACCATAAAACCATAATGTTTCACAATTCCACTTTTTGATCTGTGGTTTCGAAAGCTGCACAAAAGATTGCGTGAAATACTCAGATTGGTTCTCAAATAGATCATTCATGATATATTCAGTTCATAATGTTATTATTTATGTACTTATATCAATATATGAGTTTAGCAAGAGAGTTACAAAAATAGTGTGTATTTCCATGAATCTAATGTTTCAGAATTCATACAACTGTTAAAACGTCTATGGGCAATCATATTACTTAGTAAATTGATGGATGTAGCAGTTACTACGTGGTAGGAAATCATAATGAAGAAAAGAGAATTGAAACTTTCTATCTTTTTCACTTTCTAACTTTAGTGCAGTTTGGTCCTATAAGGAAATTTTCAAACTACATTAAACTTATACATCAATTTATAACTTTCCCGTTTCATAATTGAAGGTCGACTCTTTCAGTTGTATTGCCAATTGCATATGCAGGACATTTTCTGTGAAAATTCCTGCACTGACGCCTGTCGGATATAATCCAACGCCCTTCGTGGTATTAGCCAGGGGAGTAGTTGTTTTCTGATAGGCGTCAGTCCATTAAACCTACTGTGTAGGTATATAGAGACTGGCTTGAACGTTTGAAGTTCCATTTACTTTAGATCAATTTATAAGTTTGAAAATACCGTATAGGACGAAACTACAGTAAAGTTAGTTATAAAAAATAAAAGTGGTAAAAAACATAAAAAGTTTCACTTTTTTTTACTTCATATCACTTAGTATTCACATAAATAAGAAATTCAGAAAAAACGGATTATATTAAGTTGTTCCAGAAGTTTTTTCCGTAAAGTAGACTCATAAAAACGGATAAAACTTTTGAAACTATAGAATGAGTGACGTCATATAGAGAATTTTCAAGAGCCATAGCTTGCTCGCAGTTTTAGCAAGTTCACTTTTCATTTGGGGAGGGGAGCAGTTGATCTCGGTCATATCATAAAAGACACCTTAGTTCTGATGTTATCCACTGTCGCCCTAGTTTTCAAGTTCATCATCGAAGTCAAAATAATTTCATTTTGAAATGTAATTTGATAATGAATGAATCAATACCGAACTTTTTGACGAAAATAATACAGTGTTTTAATTTTATAGGTGTCTTCATACCAGCGATCGCACTTCTTGCTTTGTGCTTCATAGGGCCTGAACAAAGGATATTGACAGTGTTCATGTTAGTAATAGCGGTGGGATTCAATACGGCTATTTTGATGGGTTTCCATGTGAACCACATCGACATTGCCCCAAATCACTCGGGGACTCTTATGGGGATCACGAATGCGATTTCCAACGTTGCCGCAATTCTTGCTCCATTAGCCGTTGATGTGTTCAAAGCTGTTGGTGGATATGAGGAAGTGAGTAGAAAATAAATTGGTTGAGAGATTCTGAACATTCGAGATTTATGTCTTTCTTCTACTACCTGATGTTTCTGTGGAAAACGATCGAAGATGACGGGCATTAGTATGAACAAAGGATGGTGATATCAAGAGTGTTATTTTTTTAAGGACAAAATACAAACAATACAGGAAAATCCTTTAGCGCTCCAGCGATGCCTCTGCTAAAGTATCGATTCACGTTGGATTTGAATCGCTTGAGATTAAATTCATTTGGAAAAACTTTAACAGAAAGTTTATTCCACATGAACGCAGTTCTTAAAATGAAAGAGTTCCCAAACAGTGAAATTCGAGGTGTACTTGGTTGAACCTCAAGACGATGAGCAGTTGCAGTCCGTCGCGTATTTCTGATATACAATAGTAATATATTTATTTAACAGATGCCAGAGTTAATCATATAATACATAATAATTTAAGCAGGTAGTTGAATGATTTTGATGATATTTTTTTACATAATTTACATAGTATTATATCATGAAATTAAATATGAATGAATAAATATGACTGATAATGCACAAAAACATATGCTGGTCGTGGAACAATGAAAGAAAATAATGATAGTAAATGATGAAAGAATGTTGTCGTACACATATACATATATAGATGAAGCTATATGAGATTTATAGTATCGATACTTTTTTATTGAAAAAAACTTAGTCTACAATGAAAACGAAGACCTCTGTAGAACGGTCTTTTGGTCCTATTGTATTATTTCAGAAATTATTCTTTATATCGATGAGTTGATGGGTGAATGAACTAGGTTTCAAATCCAATTTCTCAGTTCTTTCTTGAATAAGCTGAGCGAGTTGATTGTTTTCAATTCACTGGGAACTGCATTGTATACTCTGGGTTTGAGAAAATATGATGAACATTGGGATATTAGTTTAGAGACGAAGGGCATTGCGAAGTGGTTGTCCTTTCTAAGTATGTGCACATAGTAATTTTTAGATCCTTCTTTTTTCTGCTTCACTATCAAGACGTTCAAAAGTAATTGCTTAGTATCTAAAACTTTTGCTAGTTGATAAATTCCATCACTGGAATGTAATCCATCTACGAGTACGTCGAGTCCGTTCATTTGATTATTGTACCGCTCTTGGTAATATCAAATGTACCAAATAACTTTAATATCTTCCGTGAAAGTGTCTATAGAAGAGAGACAAATACCAAACCTTCCTACGAGTGTATATATAATAATAATTACAATTTATTTTCCCGAGAAACATAATTCAAAAAACTAACTATAGCATAACTGAGGTCTGATCTGAGCATCAATAGTTGCTGAGGTGTGTACAGTTCTCTGGTTCAGAACAGTGTTCCAAGCTTTTGAGAAGCAGCTTCTGCAATTTCAGCGACATTGTTGTGCCAAGACATATAGGTGTCCATTTCAACCCCCAATTCATCGAAGCAGAAATCGAAATTGTCTGTCCTGACATTATTTTAACTGGTTCGAAAACATTTATCTTTTGGGATGAAACGATGCTTGGGTTTTCTTGACATTGAATTCAACCTGGTTATTTCCACCCCTTTTCGAAATCAACTCTAGATTATCATTAAGATATGCAACCTCCTGCTACCGGTGAAGATATGCATCCTCAGCACATGTCCTCGAATCCAAATGGAATGCCGAGATAAGTATGCTGTCGTCAGCAAAGAAATATATTGGATACTTGATTTTTTCCAATAAGTCGTTGATATACAAAACAAAATATGAATTCTTGATTGAAACGAGCATTGATGATGAAAGTATTCGAGAGATATCCATCGACGGCTACTTGCAGGGAACGGCCTTTCAGGAAGCTGGAGAGCCATACACAAAAATGATTCGACAAGCCATAGCGTCGAAGATTGGTCAGCAAACCCTCATGCCTCACACGGTCAAAGGCCTTAGAAATATATCAAGTTCTTCATGTTTCTCGATTGAGTTATTCCAAATATGGGTGGCATACGATAGAAGGTTATACAGAGAATAGCGTGATAACTGTCGGTCAGGCGTATTTTGGGAAATAATGGGATTCATATCCTGAAAATGAGCAATTACAGGTTTTCAGTTATTGATAGAAAAGTCAAATTAGTTTTGTCAGTTTTTTCTTCAACTGAACTGAATTGGAGACAGTAAAAAATCAGTTGAAGTTGGAAATTATTAGCGGTGCTTGGCCTATTGATATTTCTATCATTCACCTACAACAGAAACTGGGCAAAATTGAAGTTTTTATGAGTGTCTAGGCTAGTTCGTGAAGTAAATGAAAAATGTTATCTACAAGCTCAATTTAATTTTCTATAATTTCCACTTTGTAACCTGAACTCAGTAATTTTTTTTTGGGTTATGGACGACATTTTTTTGGTAGATATATATAAAATTTCATATTCAACAGGTATACACACAGTTACAGAAAATGTTCGATCAATGATGATAAACATATGACACTCAGTCAATTGACATGTTGCAAGTAAACTTCCCAAATGAAATTCAATAAGTTTGTCTTATATCTTGAATTGTTATGTCACTATTGAATTTGTCATAGAAATATGTTGTAGTTATTGAAGTATCAGTTTGAAAATATGTTTTTGAAGTTTTTCTTCACTTAACCAGGTCAATAAGGAACAAAAAACACCTTGTATTGCATTTTAACTGTAATTTTCATAAGCTCGATAAAATTATGGATCGAAAAATATGTATGGCTGTGATAGAACTGATCGATACTCGATGAAAATCCATTATAATGTATTCAAAAAACACACTTCAATATGTGATTTTACCTTTTCAAGGGAAAATCTCACATTAAAGTATGTTTTTTGAATACGATATGTATAGCTCTCGGGATTATCAAAATATTTTCAACAGACATTGTTGTAAGTTATTGTCATACTCATTGTCAGGAAAAATTTTACATATACTAAAAACTCCAGTCTGAACTGATTTTTGCGGATACTTTTTTCTGATTTAGTTATGAATTGAGTGTTAGATCAGTGTCTTCATTGTTGTTATACAATAACTGAAAATACTGACTAATCACTGATTGTTCACGACACAAGGTATCGTAGAAAAGTTCCTCTGTATTTCTCAATTATACTCAACATTAATTCCTAGTTACTCTGCTGACATTCATTTGAATTTGATTTCATTTCGCCTGTAATATATCTCACTATTTCATTTATGATTCAACAACAGTTAGCTACGTTTCGCTCTGAATGGTTACACCTACTTTGTCTTGCTGTGAAAGCTGCAGTGGCAGAAAAAAGGTCGATGTCAGAACTTATTTTTACAAGTGACCGCCTTGGAAAGCCTCATTTATCGTTCATATTCAATGGTTCTGTCGATCCCATAGGAGGCGTTTTCTTCATTTCAATAATTGTTCAGAAGAGTCGGAATTATTCTGACTTAAGGTCTATTACGATTTCTACTTGTTGAACACGAAGCAATTTATGTGACAATTAGATGACAATACATCCTTGTACGTCCAATTGAATATCGACCTATTATGTAATAACCTAATATGAATGTTTTCTTTTCAGACTGACAAACAACTCTGGAACGTGGTTTTCATAACAGCCACAGTATTATTCTCCACAACAGGTATGTTTTACAATTTGGCAGCGTCGGGTGAAGTACAGCCCTGGAATGACTTAAGTGTAAAGGAAACAGAGGAGAACCCAGAGAAGAAACCCATGTACAATGGCGACAGCTGACAAAACATTCCGCGTGTCGCAAGAACTTCACTTACTTGGTAGTGAGAACCAGTGATGGAAAACTTCCAAGTTCATTAGTCAAAAAATGGTTACCTTGAATTAGTTGTTTTGACTTTTGGAAGAATAAAATATGTTATGAAAGTAATCGATAACTCGGTTGTGTGTCATTGAATCGAATCAATTCATAAATATTTATTCAAACAATATTTGTATATTTCATTCATCCCACATTCCTCGGAAACTTCGAAATAAAATGAAACAGCGGTCCAATATACAGGGTGGACGTCAAAAGACGGAACAAGGTGCCATGGTCGGACAAAATTCAGCTGAAAAGTTCAGTTTCACTACGTTTCGATAATTAAGGCATCAATGTTGCATCATCAATCATCGAGAGGGCGCTACAGACTTCTTTTGATGGAAAGGAAGTCTTGTAATACATTTTTCAATGGGTAATTCAATTCTTGACCCAACACTATTTTACTTCCAAAAATCGGTTCAGCCATTCCAAAGTGATCAGAAGTTATTTATTCGTACACTTCGAATGTCACACATTTTCTCAAAAACATTTAGAAAAGTCAATTCAGGTGATATAGGTGACCTTTCTAAGAAACGACGATTTCCGTCATGAAGATGTTGTTCTTTTTGCTGTAACGTAACAGTTGAAAACTAATTTGATTTCGTCAAATTTGCCAACCAGTAGAAGAGCAGAGGTCGTCTCTTGTAATAGTGCAATGGATCACCTGATATGACGCCTCTAGATACTTTTGAGATAATACGTGGCATAAGAAATATCCAATATACAACCACAGTTCATATCAGAACTCGTGGATTGAAAAAGATGTGTTGGCAAAGAAAATACTCCATAAGAGAAATAAATTCGTAAACGTGTGGAATATTTACATCCGCACCGCACTGTATATTTCACTTACTTCTAGTTCTAATTTAATTTTTTTTTTGAATATGACTATCCATATATCAATAATGATCGACTACAGCTATAAGCATCTGAAGTATTCATATTCAAAGGTGAATTACGAAAAGGAAAATAGTTATAATAATAATAATAATAATGTCTNCTTTCGGAACCCCGACTGAATAGAGGGTAAGATTTTATTTTCATTGAGATGTTCAGATAGTTGACTGGCTAAAATTTTCTCAAACAATTTAGATAAGCCCGTCAAGATGTTTATAGGCCTAAGGTCAGAAAACTGTGAGGGATTTTCGTTTTTCGGAATAGGGGTAACAATAGCAAATTTCCAAGTAGAGGGATATTTAGATGACAGTATTATACCATTAAAGATATGTACCAAAAAAGGCAAGATGTAGGGACAACAAATTTTTATGAAAGCTATACTTAAGTTGTCAGAGCCAGCAGAGCTATGAGAATGATATTAGGTTGTTTCGAAAGTTTTGTATATAAAAACTTTTTTATTTTAATCACATTAAAAAGAATAATTCGAAAATTCTTCTACACTATAAAAACAATTTTTTAGGAGACATTTCACATTAGCCTTAAAATGTCTATTATTCAGGGAACGCATTTCTGAGCTCAACTTGATATGAAGTTTCAAATTGAGGGAATTTGACTTCGACTTATTTAGCCTGAAACGTTTTATAGTGCTATTTGGTTTGATGATCTCGTGTCGTATCTGTGACGATCTGATGAATCAGTTTAGTTTCCTTTGTTTGAGTGTATTTCAGAAAGAGTTTGATATTTGAACGAATGCATGGTAGTGTCATTATTTTCATGTCAGTAAAGAGGGGACGACAGTGTTTTCTCAGTCTGACTCCAGCCAGAATAATGGCTGGAGTCAGAACAATTGATATTTGAATGGAGAAAAAACTTTTGAAACGACCAAATAGCTAATGATTTTCCAATTGAAATTCAGTTTCATTGAGGTATCAGAAGCTCATTTCTATTCAACCTTGTCCATTGCCGATTTTAAACGAAGAATCCACTTGACCTCCAGTGTGTGTATTTAGGAGAAGGGCAAAGAAATAAAAGCTTGGGAATATTTTATAAAATATATTACATCCCTCATTGCAGCTTATTCGAAACAGTTGAAATGTGTTTTCCTAGGTCGTGTCAATAAAATGAATCTTCAGTGTATATTGAGAAAAATTGAGTCTAATTCATAATGTAAATTTGCAAAAAATATTTTCTCATAGGCAATATTATGTACGTCACTGGGCCATTGATTTCACCAATAGAAGTGGTCATGAGGAAATAAAAATTGTATGTTAGGCATTGAAAACAAATTTTTCATAGGTAAAAATAAATATCTTGTATCATTTTATATTCATACAAGATCAAAATGAATCCGGACTAAAAATCTACCTAGGTATATATCATTGGGTTAGTTGTGATGTATATTGCGGCACTGTACCAGAAATACTATAAATCAACGGTGTTTTAGAGATGTCAGCCATTGAAACTCATTTTGTTGGTTAGATGGAAATCAGATTTTTCTCTTTCTAGCCCACTGAGAGATGAAATGACCCAGCTCAAGATTTTTTGGAAAAAAGTTTTATTTCCTGTTTATCTCTCAACGAGAGAATGGTATTAGGATTTTTCAACATCATAATAAGGGGTTCCATATGAAACTTTGCTTCTTGAAAAGGGCAATTCGCTGTAAATATCATCGTTTGAAAATCCACGAGCATCGGTTCAAATTCAAATAATCTGGTACTTACATAATTAAAACAACACATTTTTGGGAGAGATTAGTTTTTTTGAAAAAAAGCGTTTTGATTTTCTACTTCTGCACATTCAAAAAATCTAGGAAGCTTCCAAAGAGTAGAAAAAACTAATTGCATCCAACATAACTTTGTAGAATTGTGTAGATGATGCATAGGAGTTTCTGTCAGATACGAATTGACAGAAAAAGACTTTTGGAAACGAATACTTTCAAAAATATTTTTTTTTTCGAAACAAAACTGATAACATTTGAATATTGAATTACACAATAATCACTTTGGAGCTTGTTGCTTCAATAAATATTTGTTGTGGAATTGAAACATATCATTATTTCTCCATCTCTTTGTAGAAAACCAAAACTCTTTTCTCTCAAAAATCTGATAAACGATTTGAACTGTTTCCTTTAAACAATATCTCATCAAATATTCCTTTTTTTTATAGTTTCAAGCTGTTACCAAGCAACGTACTTTCGAAAGTTTCATCCGGGACCTTGCGGCAAGTTTCATTACCATTTTGAACAGTTCTTGACGTTTTTTTAAGTCACAACAAACAAAACTTGAGATTCAGTAAATTATGTTTTACTCAGATAGTAGTGTTCTCGTATATCTCTAATGAAGTCAATATGAAAAGGTAATATGATAAAATTTATTCATTCTCAGTTACAAAATGAAAAATTAACTTGGATTTTCTAATTTCATCTAAATATTCTGCTCCGTCGTCAAAATGATATTATTGGTTTTGTGGCATATACATTGTAGATGTCGACCCATTTCTTGTACGAAAATTCTCTGGGATTTTCCTTGACCGTCAAATTTTTGTTTATATCCAAGTAATAGAAGTGATTTTTGGTTACCTTTGGCCATATTACGTTCCGAAATTTCTGAGGAGTGGGATTTCTGGAATGAACTAATGAGTATACATATTTTACAAATCTACCTTGAGTTTCCTCACAGATATTTCGCGAAATTTGTTAATAGTCCGACGTAATCGTCCAAAGCTCTCATATCTGATTCCGGAAATATACTATAATTCCCATAGTACGCCCAAAAATAGTACAGATCTTCACCGTGTCCGACACCATCAATACCTGAAACCATTGAATTGATGAAACATCTAACAGAAATAATAATATCATGCGCGATACACATGGAACCGCATTTTGTGAGGTTCCACACGAGGTTAGAGTTTGTATTCAAATTCAAATTTTATTGAGTCTTTTTCCTGTTAACAATAACAGATTAGACGAGTCTTTGAATGAAGGAAAAAAATACACATTGTAAAATCACATAAACACAGAAATACATACATAAAAAATTGAAAACAAGCAATGAACATGAGAACAAATTAAAAACGGATTGTATAAGATAATAACCAGCTCTTTCACTCCTCGAAATAGAAGCATTCTGCTATCAGAAGCTCTCTCAGCTTACTCTTGAAAATCCTCAGAGATATAATTTTTTCCAATGACGTGGGTAATTTATTATAGAAATAGCTACCTGCCACAATTGGCGATTTTTTATAAAATGAATGTTCACATTTACTTATACATAAATTATCTTCATTTCTGGTGTTATAATCATGCTTGTCATTATGTTTGATGAGGTTTTCCCTGTTTATGAAAGTGTATGAGAGTAGCTTCATGAGGTATATACACGTAATTGTCAAAATATGATTTTTTTTAAGGTGGCTCTGCAGGAAGTCTGGTAGGAAAGATTGTAAATACGCCCTACGATTCTTCTTTGAAGAATGAAAATTCGTTAGATATCCTTAGCTTGTCCCCATACCACTATGCCATACGAAATAGCTGAATAGGCAAATGCATAATACACATTCAGGAGGGATTTGCGATCTAGAACATTTTTCAAAGAGCCTATTATATAGAAAGTTTTATTAAGTTTACCACGAACATTGTCTATTTGTTTATCACAAGAGAGATGTTGATCAAGGACTGTATACCCAGAAATTTTGTATCACGTGATATGTTAATATATTGCCCCTCAAACGATATAACTGGATCTGAAGGTGTTTTATATTTGTTGTGATACTTACGCAAGCAGTTTTTTTATGATTGATAATTAGTATATTCTTGAAGCACCAGCATTTGAATTCATCAAGAATAATTTGTATTTTTTGTTTTAGTTTATTTTCGGATATATCTGAAACAAGTATACATGTGTCGTCGGCATACATTAGAACTTTTCCCCATGATATGTGATCAGGAAGATCATTTATAAAACTCAGAGGACCAAGGACGCTTCCTTGTGGAGTTCCTATGTCAATGTCAAATTCATCTGAAATGACCTCGTCAATTTTTACTACGAATTTCCTTCCTCCTAGGAAGGATGTAAACCAATTGTTAATGTTACCTCGAATACCAAGGCTATGAAGTTTCTCTGAAACAAAAGAGCTATTGACAGTATCGAAGGCTCTAGTAAGGTCGAACATTATTGAAATTATACATTTGCCAACATCCATACTGTCATATATACACTGAACGCAGTCTATTGTCCCGGTTTCTGTTGAGCGACCTCTTCTGAAGCCGTGTTGGTTACCACTTATCAATTTTCGAGCTTTTAAAAAATTCTTCACCTCATTTGCGACCACTTTCTCGATAATTTTGGAGAACATACTAAGAAGAGCAATGGCTCTGTAGTTTTCAATACAGGATGGGTCGTCTTTTCTATAAATCATAATCACCTAGGCTAACTTCAAGCTCGAAGGGAATTTTCCTTGGGTGATTGAGGAGTTAATTATATTTGCTAAAGTTGATGCAATAATAAATACGGATTCTATAATAACTGAAACTGGAATTTTATCCGGACCGGCAGAGTTCTTGTTTTGTAAATGATGAATTATTTCCGCAACTTCACTCTCAGTGACAGGTTCAAAAAACATGGATTCGCATGTGCTCTGTCCTGCTGTACACGTCGTTGACAGTTCTGAACCAGAATGATCGAATAGTTTTTCTTCAACTGTTGTTTAATAGATGTTGGCCAAAGGCACAGGCCATATCCAGCGGTTGGGTTAAGGTTTTTCCATTATAGATTATTTCTTTGATATTTTTCGATTGTTTGCCTTTGAACGAATTTACTATATTCCACACCGTTTTAGTTTTGTTTTGTGATGCTTCTATGATTTTTCCATGAAAGGTTTTTTTTCATTCGCGATTTGTTCTCCAACCTCTTTTTTGAGCTCTTTATATTCTCCCATATTTACTGAAATTGAATGCTGGCAGGAAGATCATCCATTTATTTTCCTAACCTAGAAGTGTTGACTTGTGATGCACTGTTTGGAACCTTTGGTGTAGTTATAGATATTACCGGATTTTTTTCCCAGCACCAAACCGTTATTTTGACACCTCGACACGTGTTTCAATCACCAAGTCGTCATCTTCAAGGTAAAGATCAAACTGATATTCTTCTTGAAGATGATCACTTAGTGTCGAGGTGTTGAAATAACGGTTTGGTGTTGAGATCAAACTGATCTTTGATCTTCCTCTTGAAAATGATCACTTGGTGATTGAAACACGAGTCAAGGTATTCAAAAAAAATGTATACGCGGTAAACACCCTATTTTCAAATATCAGTCGTATAATAATCTCTGTGAAACGTCTGAAAATCGACCAATAGGTTCAAACATTGACGTTTGTGACGTTTTTTTTACATTATACGCCGAAGAAGCTATTGTATGGCGGAACACGTGTTGCGTTTTTGTAAAAATGTTCAGCGAAAATCACACAATGGAGTATTTTTTGAATACGTTATAAATTATCATCATGTATCGGCCGATTCCATCAATCACACGTTGAAAGTAAGACCTCGTTAGTCCTCAGCTCGCACAAGTTTCTCAACTTCTGAGAGTTGTCGTTCGTAGGGGGGCGACAGCTGATCAACGGAAAACAGATTTTTAACAGACAGCTATGTTTGTAATGAGATGAAGATAGAAATTAATATTATTTGTTAAATATTCATTCACTATCTGATAATATATACTCGTATTTGCAACACATATCATAATTTTTCAATGGGGTATAATTAATTTTTCTTGTTCGTAGCAGTACCTTTTATATTGTTCATTCCATTCTTTTTCCCAGGCTTTATTTCAGCAGTGCCTCTCTAATGAATTCATTTCTCACTCTCAAAATCTATTGTAATTCGATGTCGTAAAATAGATATATAGAACATATAATATACAACACGTAATATACAACTAACCTTCAACTTTGACTTTATTTCCACCCATTTTTCCGACATAAGAGAATTGGTAGAACCATACATCTGTATATATAGACTGCAATTCTGCGTACCTTATTGGAGCTCTCATATATCTGTTGTCACCATGATACTGAAATCAATTGAAAAATATCCTTGGAAACGTTTGTCTGTGAAAATTTCAACAAAAGATTCTATGATTTCATGGAGAATTGTTAAGGTTATCATCAGCTTCCATTTAAAATTCACCTTTTTTTTTTCAAAAAAACTGCAACTTGGAATACTTCTGATAGATCTATGGATATCTATGGATCTATGATTCTAAATTGGTAGCAAATTGCCAAAAACGACTCTCCTCGATAAGAAGACCTAACAGATCCTCTCTGGTCTAGATTCCTGGCCATACTGGCCTGAAAGGCAATGAGGCTGCTGACTTCCTTGCAAAGGAGGGTGCTGCAAGCAGCTTCATCGGACCAGAACCTATCATTGGCATCGCTTTGGGCTTTGCCAAACAAAGATTGAACACCTGGATGGCAAGAAGATTTATAAACTTCTGGCAGAATCTTCCAGGATTGGCTCACTCCAAGGCATTTATTCCCTCTTGCTAGATATCAAACAGTTGTTGGACTACAGTAGGGATGAACTACGATGTCTAACAGACCTTTCTTCAGGCCACTGTCATTTGAATCATCATATGCAGAGACTTGGACTCTCGAAAGACAGTGTGTGTCGCCTCTGTTTGTAAAATGATGAAACAGTACAGCACATACTTTGTGCCTGCCCCGCTGGGGACCGAATCAGATTTTCAGAGTTCGGCAGAGCCATACTCTCACCATCTGACCTGGAAGATCATTCACCATACAAACTAATTGGCTTCGTCGAAAAGCTGGGTTTATTTGGCCGAGTATAAATAGGTGTGAGCCACAATAAACCTTTATGGGTTGCGGTGGAGGGTTGAATAGACCCACTCAATTTGGACCTAACCTAACTTAACTATGAAACATTGAAAAATAAAACAAGAACTTGATTTTAATCGGATGATAACACACATAATGTAATTAGGGTTGCTGATATACAGGCTGTTTTTCTTATCTGATTTCATTAATGAAATTTCGAAAATGGTAAGACCTACAAGGTCGTTCAAATTGGACAACAGTTCTCTATTTTGGGGATCTAGAGTAATATTTTTTCACGTCGGAAATATCAGTGATTTTTTTAGAAATATTCGTTAAAAACTAGAATTGTCAAATTTTCAATTTTGGCTCCACCGCCTCCATTTCAAATGATGTAAAAAAGGCAGAGAAACTTTCAATATTGTTTCATATTCATTATGATCTGATAGAAGCCAATTTGTCAATATGAACCAATAATTGAATAGAACTGGCCGATACTTGATGAAAATCTATAATAAAACTGTCAATACCAATAACAATTTAGGCATGCACAGCAAAAATAACAAAGATGGAAGTTTCAGAAAAATCGGAAGTATATATATTATCATGTGGTTATGTCCGATTTCATATAGGTCAAACTGGAAGAACGTTCAAAGCCCGTATGATGGAACACAAAAATAGTTTCCAGAATGTAAAAATAAATTCCACATATACCACATATGCCACAGAGGGACATGAGTTCAACCATGAATTCATGCTCCTCCATTTTCAGAGAGTTGGAGAGTATGGAGAGTATGGAACTGAACAAATTCAACAACTATCATTATCTGAATATGTTATTGAAAAATATATTATTAGAGAAGAAAGTAATACAAATCATGAAACTATGAAACAACAAAAATTAATTGGCGCTCCGGGGCGACTTCATGGATTCCATTTGCTTTTTCAGCTGCAGAAAAACCTGGAAAAACCTGCAGCACCACATCATCTGAAGATATTGATCTTATGAATGATCAAAGAAAATTGAATAATTTGCCATTATTGTACCGCATTATTTGCGGTACTTTCAAAAAATTTATTCATATAGTTAATGAATTCATTCCTGACCTTTTCAGGTACATTCATTCATTAGAAAGTAGGCATATAAGTAGGTTATATGTTAGAGTATAAAATAGTTGTAATTTAGAAGTAACTTTTAGTTTACGCTTGAGGAAGCTATTGTTTAGCGAAACATGTGTCGCGGTTTTTGTAAAACCCTTTATAGTGAAAATCATACAATAAACTGTAATAATTAGTTTCACCTTCATTTTTTAAATACTGACCTCTAGTTTTTTTCACCGTAGCCACTTCAATAACAAATTCAGCTATGTATTACAATAAATGTGTTTCCCGATGTTTATCTCATTATCACTGTACCTCAAAAATGTAGGAATCAATATTTTTTGGGTATGAAACTTAAAGCTATACACAAACTCCGCATATTGGAAGAACATGTTATACACCAAATAACGAACAGAAAATAATCAGTTCAGAATACTCCTCACCATCTACATCGTTCACAATATATCATTGAATGTTCTAGTTATTAGTGTGGTTACAAAAATCGATGAGGAAAAACTAGAGGTCCTTATTGAAAAAATGATGAAATCCTTTGAACAATAGATCACACTGCAAATTGGTTTTCATCAGATTATATCAAATATGAAACACTATCAAAAGTTCCTCGGTTTTTTTATATCCGAAGAACAAAATTCAACAATTCCAGTTTTTGGCGAATATTTGAAACCCAAACACTGATATCATCAATCTGTTGAAACATTATTCTAGTTTCCCATAATAGGAAACTTTTGTCCAATTCAACGGACCTTGTATGTCTTTCTTACCGCTTCCAAAATAGCAGTAGTGAGACCAGCTGAAAAAACGGCCTGTATTCAACTTCCCATTTTATTAATCAATCAGGACATACTCCAATTAGCTCTCATGATCAACTCACCTGCGTGAATTTGCCAAGTTCTTGTTCCAACGACTTGTTGGTGTATATTTTTTTGATTTCCAGCCCTACAGTCGACAAAACTTGATCGTCGCTAATATACATATCGCCATCTACTAGCAGCTTAAGATTTTTGTCATAAGATGCAGCAGTTTTTCTCCAAGACTTCATATCTGAGAATGAATAGAACAGAAAGTATATACATCATTTATTTATGCAATGAAAATAGTTTCGACACCCATGAAGGGATGAATAAAGTTTTATAACATTAAAAATGAAACTCACTCGAAGCTGCAATGATTCCTTCCTCAGAAGCAATACCAGCTAAATAGGGAACTTTATTGATTTGGCCTTTCTCAACTAATGAGTACATCGATTTTGTTAAAAATGCTTCATCATGTTCAATTTCGATAACAGGGGCAAATGTCTGAAAGATATAATCAATCAAGCTCTTCAAAAACAAATCTGTATTGAAATGATCCATAATGAACTTTGAATCAATCGAAAAAAACATTAGTGGAACAGGTAATATAGTTTGGCAGCGGATTTCAATAATGGTATCATTGTTCTTTGTTATAAATTCCATCCACTATAGTAGCCTAAGTATCACAATATAACATTGAAAAGTGGAAAACAAGAAAGAATATAACTGTGAAAGGTGAATAACAATGTAAAAGAATAAATTCGATAATCCTCAAAGGAAGAATATGTCAACATGTGTTTTGGTTGTTTTTCACAATAGTAATACTACAAGACTTCAAAGATTCATTGATGAATCTTCATTTTTACCACAAATTTTGTTACTTAGCAATACTATGAGAGCAAACAGCATGGTTTTATCTGTAGCTGATTGCTTGATTGGTATTTTGCTGAAAATAACAGATTTTGAGTTAAACGAAATAGAAATTTATCTGAGGTCGACTGAGTTTGCATTCATGGCTTGAAAAAGTATTTCATTCGTTCTATTTTTGCTTTTTTTTTTAAATAACTCATTGTCAATATTTACGAATTCCATGTATTCTCTGCCAACAAATAAATTTTCAAAATTTAGCAGCAATGCATGAATAACCACTTTCTATGACGTGTCTATTGACTCAAATTTATATTTGAATAACGTTGGTTGAAGCAAAATTCGATGACTTCAGAAATCAAATACCTATCAGCTGACAATTTGGGAGATTGCTGTCATGGAAAATGTAGGATCCCATGAAAATTAATGCCTTCAGCGAAACTTGCTGATCTCAAATAGTATCGATGTAATCATGCATATATTGAACAAAATCTATGGATAAAACTGGCCCAAGCAGAGTTTTTTGAGGTATTCATTCTTCAGTTGTTTCGAAATAAAAAATCAACCATATGTATCTGTATCTGTAGAGTAGGGAGGGTGAGTGTAGGTCCACAGCACTTAGGCCACATGTGACCCATTGTACATACTCCCAAGGAATTGTCCTCCTAGGTCATCGTTCATCCTGTCCTTCCCAAGAAGGTGGAAATGTATCTAGAGACATCTCCTTTATATCAGCAGGTGTAGACCAAGACTCGCCGAACACACAGTATCTTATTGACGATAACTCCGGACATTTGCATAGGACATGCCTGATAGAGGTGTGTCCATTAGTCCCATAATATGAAGGAATTTCCTTAGTTGACATTGGTCAGTCACAAATCTCTTTAGGGACTGAGCATGGGTGTGACGTGTGGCTAGTTCCGCAATTGTCGAAGTCATCAGGCCGTAGGTGCCACTGGGTCCTAAAATTCTTAGTCCAGCCGCTTTCTCGGCTAAAGAGTCAGCAATGCGATTACCTCTACTCCTGTACTTTACTCCTGTACTCCTGCTCTTTATAATGATAATGTTATTATCATCCGAGGCTTCAGCTAAATCTTGGTGGCACTCTAGTACTAGCCCTGAGGTCACACGTTGTCTGGTCAAGGCTAATAGGGCTTGTCTGCTATCAGTGTAGATTTTTATGTTTTTGCCAGAAATTCCTATCCTGGTTATTTCTCTTGTGGCGATTGAAATACCAGCCAGTTCTAAAAAAAATAAACCATTTCAATGCTGGCAGAAAATAATCTCAAAGATTAGACATTTGAAAAAAAGTTATTCTGCATCAAAACTGGGTCATGAAATCATTATTTTGACTCAATAATTTGTCCATCATGGGATACTCCACCGAAAATTTTCCACTCGGAATTATTTATCGAATTCATCACAAAATCCAATATTTGAATAGTATACAATCATATGTGATGGGTAGACATTTATTTGAATCAGAGTCCTGATTTGAAACGTCTATAAGTGTCGACAAATTTAAAACTGAAAACATTTTAGGATTCATAATTGGTTTCAGCATATTATGATGGTTCCAGAATTCATTATTTTTTTCAATTCTGCTTCTTTTTGAATCGATTTCTGAATTGGTATCAAACTGAACGAGCTAAATTATTGCAAAGGAGAAAGGATAGACAGCATTATACGAAAAACACCATTGTGAATAAAATCATCAAACAAGTGACACAATTCTATTGCCGCTATCATTTCAAAACATCAATTATGTGTCATTATGAGCTACCAAGTATATTTCCACTGCACTAAATGAGTATTGATACCTTTTCGCTTTTGATTTTGATGAAAATTTTAGATTATTGTCTTCTTGAATAACCATCCTCTTTACATTTCTCATGAACCAGATCGGAACAACTATCAACTACTTGGGTACCTACTTACACTGTATTTAGTGCCAGTAGCATGAATCGCTTTACCATCAACACCTAGTAGAAAGTCCAGTAATTCTTCTGTGGTACGATTTCTACCAAACTTGGGATCAATCATGGCAGCAATACCATAAGCTGTATCAACAGCTTGTCGATCGTGAGCCCAAGTGTTTAGTGCAGAACCACTCTGACCAATAGCTGCTCGGAATAGACCTACAATGCACAGGAACGACTAATAGTTGAGAGTTGTAATATCTCATTTTCTCTAATTTTTTTCAGATTCGTGATATATAATTCAAAAGTGATACAAAACAATAAAGATCAACAAGAACTTCAGTTGATAATTGCTGTAAAAACACTGAAGAACTTCAAGAATTTATACTAATTATGTAATGCAAATTATTTGTTTCCAAAGACATTCTCGTCTTACAAAAGCTATGAATCATACCGAAAGTGTACGTTTCAAAGAAACGAATATATCAAAACTTGTATCTGATGAAAAAGTAGATAGTGCGAGGACGTAAATACCCCCCTTCCTCCAATCTTCTGCACGATGCAAGATATCAATGTCGAACGAACTTTGTGTGAGAAACAATCATTTTTATTCTTCCTTGGTTTGAAATGCAAAGGAGTCCTTGTCAACCTCTGTTTCAATGGTATTCCTTCACTGTTTCGAATTGGAATTTGGAAAACCGGTTGCGTAGTTACTGGTGTATGAATTGGATACTTTGAAACCCAAAGATGATTGGAACAGCTCAAAAGTTCCGTCATCACAGGTTACACAAAGTTTGTATTTGTAAGAGAGATAAATTGCTCAGGGAAATGGATCTTATTTAGAATAAAACTGGGCTTGAGTATTTTAGAAAGAAGCGCATTTCTATTTTCATTCCGATACAGGATATTTTTATGAGCAATTACCTAGATAAAAATACACACCATACTATTCTGGAAAAGGTGTTATTCTGAGCTGTCGAGTGACACGAAGAATTTGCCTTATTTCGATTTAAGAACAAAACTAAAGCAATCCTTATCTACGCCGAGGTGGCCGTAATTTTCGTGAGGCTGGAAGGATGTTCAGTGAAAGATTTCCTGATGATCCGATCTGCCAAAAAAATTTTAGAGAATCGGTTGAAAAATTTCAAATAACTGGTAGTGTAGATAGAAGCTAAAGGAGCTGGCAGATCGAAAATAGGCTTTTCCGCAGTTCTAAGAGAACATTTTAAATATTAACTCAAATGATTTTTTTGTATTGAATTGATAATAACAAGCTTTATAAAAAATGCCGAATGGCCTTGAAATCAGCACTCATCTATTGTAAAAGGAGTCACGAATTCAAACACCAATAACTCTGCAACTGCTTATCGCAATTCGCAAAAGTGAAGGTCATGCGGAATATCACAAGTCCCTCTTTTCCATTTGGAAAAATGAATTTGTAACGGCCCTTTCGACGGTGAGTCAACTCTCCATCAAATAGTACTGAAAATAATTCCTTTTAACAATAATTTTGTCCAACTCTGACATTTTCCACCGCTCGAAATTCAAGATAGGTAGTACTATCTACGTCCGCACTGTATATTTTCAGAACGTCGCCTGTTTTACCTGCAGAACCTGGACTCAATATTTGGTATGTCACTGAGGCAGATCCAGCACTTTGCCCCATCACGGTAACTTTTGTTGGGTCACCTCCGAAAAGATGTATGTTTGTCTGGACCCATTTCAAAGCGAATTGTTGGTCTTTCAGGCCCATGTTTCCAGGTATAACACTGTCACCAGTAGAAAGAAATCCTAAAGAATATAAATTTGAAGATCACTGGACGTATTGAATGAATGATTTGGTTGAGAATTTCAATTTAGTGATCACGAAAATTTTTGATGTCATTTTCATCCATATCAGAATTTTTTACGAGAACTCATTTGTTTTAATTTCTTTGCCAAACTAGTTTCCTACAGATCAAATGGAGACTTTTGAGAATGTTGATTTTGAACAAATTTCAGTTCTGAATACCTGAAGATTATACTATTATGAAAGCTATCAAAATCATTAGAATAACTGAGAAGACATCTCCTTGGATAACTGGAACAATAAAGGAGATGATGTTAATATGGGTTGGAGCTTTCGATAGATTCAAAAAAACAAAAACAGAAATTCATTTTCAGTCGTATAAGGACTTGCGGACCGTCACTAATCAGGCGAGTGAGAGAGAAAAAAAGGCATATTTCATCTCAGAGTTCAACAAAAAAAACAAATCTCTGGAGAGCCATAAAATCTAATAGGTTCATACCTAATAAATAAAGTTTCTTGGCATACCAGAGGATTTGCACAGTTATTTTGTTAACTCGATTCTTATGAATAAACCACCCCCAGAACTCTCCTCTTTCTATACGGACAATAAATAGATAGACTTGACTTCAAATTTCAAGTAGTACATGATATGTTTGTTTTCGAAACAGTTCCTAAGATAAAAACTAATGCAATGGCATATAATTTAGTGAATATAAACTCATTAAAATGTGCTATCCACATATGATTTCATATGTAAGACATGTGGTGAATTTTTTCTATTAATAATATTTTTTCCACGCTATGAAATAGAGCAGTTGTGAAAATATTTCCAAAAAACGAATCCATCAGATTCCGAAGATCTGCGTGCCATTAATTTATTACCAACTTTGTCAATAGTTCTTGAAAGAGTTGAAAAAACACATTGACAATTTCTCTATACTTCCAATAACTCAATCTGGATTTCGTGAAAGACATAATTGTTCAATTGTGCAGTATTGGTACTCCTTGATTTTGATAGAGTATTCGATAGTATCTACCTCAATTTAATGTTATTGATTATTGGCTACATATTTCTCTTTTTTCACTAATCAAATCGTATCCCACCGACCGTCAATAAAAGGTTATCATAAAAGGAAACAGCTCACAATATTTGGAGCTGATATGTGGGGTGCCCCAGGGTTCTATTTTGGGACCCCTTTTCTTTGCTTTTCTGCAATTTCGATACATACATACGTGGATAAAATTTTATTTGTCCGTTTTATGAAACGAAGTTTTTATCAGTGTAGCGAAACCCTGTATTGGACTGGGAGCTGATGTGTCTAGTATTTTCTATATGAGTTTTTTCGCTGAAAGTGCTTTTTTGGAAAGGACCACCATTTCTCTGATACAATATCTTCCAAATGACTGAAACCGATTCAGGTAGGTAGTTTCGTTAAGGATGCCAATATCAAGTCATTTATCTGGTTAATAAAATCTTATAAGTACGACCATGCATCCACAGGCCATTCTTTTAGCTATGTGTTTCAATATTTTGCTGTCTCAAACAGGTATTTACCAGTAACTCTGAAAACTAAAAGATACCTTGACTTAACACATCTTTTGAAAATTTGTAAATAGACGCGAAAGCCCATGCATTCCAGGGGTTTCGTATGAATATGGAAGAAATGTTCAAAAGCCAAATTTGATGGAATGTGAATGTTTCTTTCTGATGTCTTCTGACACATATAAATATTGAAAAAATATTGTATGAGAGTACTAGAATCAATCGATTCACTGTCAAGTACATAATAACCATTCGATTCGTTATGCATTTTTTTTGAAGGAAAAACCATGAATCTTCTCAATGACAAGGAAGTTTGTTTGAAAAACCCTCAGATCTGTGGAAAACCGGAAAATTCAGAACAAGGACGTATCTTTGAGGAATATTGCACATCATAGTGCTGTATCTACTACGTCAGTTACAAAAATTATGGGAAGAAATAAATTTGGACCCTTCATAGTCAGGAAAATCCACTATTTGGGTCCACGGACTGTATAAAAAATAAATTTTTCGTAATATAGGAGAGAGTCTTTGGAGAAAGTGATTCAGACTATATTTGTTCAATTCCTTGAGTTTCGACCGAATATATTCAGACCAGCTGTTAAAGGAATAGCACCAATATAGAAAAAACTTTACGAGACCATTTTTGTCAATGCGAATTGTCATATTGACAGTTGCACCACTAACACAGCTCCTTAGGAAATGTCTTGCAGGGACTTCATTTCATGGGAAAAAAATATGATTATTCTCACCAAACGGCCCCAATCGATAATTTATAGTAACCACAACAACATTCTGCTCGAGCACAAACTGCGCACAGGTGTAACCAACAGTCGCAGAACCTCTTCTGAATGTTCCTCCGTGGATATTCAACATCACAGGTAAAGAGGCTTCCTTACCAGGTTCCTGAAATGGAATTATTCAGTGAATTGGTGGGTCTGAATACAGTGAAATAAATACAGTTCCATAATGAATATTAGACTATCATATAGGGAGAGTACTTCCCCTTCCTATTCAAACTTTTCTCCTTGATTTTGAAGAAACTTCTCGATGAGCTCAGTAGATTTACCGCGATTCTTTTTTGCTGGGTTTTGTAATATCCCCATTTCCAAAAATTTTAGACAGATCTACTGTTTTGATTTGAATACTGAACAACATAGAACTTCTCTATACATCAAAAAATACAAATATACCGCTTCTTAAATAGAAGTATTTCAATTATTTCTTAACGTGCTTTGACTTTCTTGATCATGAACACTTAGTTTTCAGTATTAGTAATCTCGTTAACCAAACTTACTTGAGGGGTATATACACTGAGATATAAGCAGTCTTCAGAAGAGTGTGCATGTTCAATGCCAGTTTGATAGCAGATTTTCCGATTGGAAGAAGCTTTCAGTACACCCTTCCAATTCTCAACAGGTTGAGGTGGCTGAAATGTATGTAATGATAATAATAAATCAACTTCATTCATCTAAAAAATGGATTGAAAGGAGAAATTAAAATTTCCATGTTTTTACCACTTTTATTTGTAACTAACGTTACTGCAGTTTCGTACTATATGAACATTCTCAAACTTATACAACAAGTTATACACTTATACAATAAGTCTGAGAATGTCCATATTGGACGAAACTACGGTAACGTTAGTTACAAATAAAAGTGGTAAAAACATAGAAATTTTCATTTCTTTTTTCATTATGATCTCCTACCACGTAGTAACGGCTACATCCATCAATTCATTAAAAAAAGGAGAAAAACACAAATGATAAAAGTGAATTAGATGAATAGGCAGATTATCAGCGTAAGCTGTTTTTCAAATCAACCTTACAAAATAATATACAAAAAAGTACAGAATAGAAAGTAAATTAAGCAACACTATAATACAAGCTTAATTAAAAGGGGTAATAATAACACCTTAGCAGAAATCAACATACAGAGCACCGATTACTAGGAAATGAGACGTTTCAAGTGTTTTGAAAGTTATGTTGGAAGTAATTGATATACAGCTTGTCAAATCTAGAAAGCGACTTCAAAGTTTTGGCTTGGGAGTTCCCCTAAATTGCGCGTTTGTTAAAAGACTGTGTGTGTGTATGTGAGAGAGAGAGATAGAATCCTCAAGTCTCTTTCTAGTTTTGACAAGCTGTTTGTGAATAAGGATATGTACAGTGCATAGTTTTTCAATATTCAACCATCCGGAGTCATCAAGCCTACTACTGATGTTATCAAATTTACTTATTTGAGTTGTGTAGTAAGAATATCTCTATTGAGAAAAATTTGTATGATGATGCTATAAGAGGATTCATAGAGATGACTGATATGTTGAGAAAATATCAAATATCTACTTTCAGAAGTGAAGAGCAAGGCAACATCGCTTATGTGGATCTTGATGAGGTTAGAAGTCAGTTTCCTTTTAAATTTGGGTCCAAATACCATACATGATGATTGTTTCGTATTCAATTTTGAGTTATGTGTGCATGACATGTTGTACAGTGAATTGAGATCTCCATTCATGAGTTCTTGTGCTTCCAGGTTTCCTTCTAGAAGAGATAGTTAGATTTGAGTATCGTCCGCGTAGTGATGAATAGTGCAAAATTTCATACTTTCGTAGAAATCAGAGACATATATGTTGGATAAAAGGAGTCCAAGAATGGAACTTTGTGGAACCCCGAATTTATTATTCAGAACTGCAGTTTTGGATTGATCAAGGCTGATACACTAAGATCGACAGCACATTCATCCAAACCAAAGTGATTCAGTTTATGCCATAAAAAACTGCGGTATGAGGCCTCAAAAGCTTCATTGAAGTCTAATAAAACTAGATATATGATATTATTTCTGCCGGTTGCTTTGAGAATATCATTAGTCATGGAGAGGAAAGTGGAACTAGTACTATGTTGAGAAAGAAACCCAGACTGAACTCTAGTTATAATATTGTAAAAACTTATGAATATATTGATATGAATCATAATGATTGATGAATGTGGCAAATGAGAACCATAGTCAATTGTGAATTTCACTAAAGCATTAGAGTAGCGACTCTTATCGAGTCAGATTGAGAAACAGATTTTTTAAACAAATATCGATCTTTATCAAATAATATACTTCTTATGTACCTACTTTGAATCTAAATTTTCCTACAGGTGGAGCTGCGTATGGTATTCCTAAGAAAGCCCAATATTCTACATTTTTCCTGGGTGTTCTATATACTGACCCTTCAATTTTTCCATTTGATAGTTCCACCAAAGTACCTGCTTCACAAATCTGAAAATATGACACGAAAAGCAATTGAAAAAATATTCATTTGATCAATAACATTTTTAACCAATTTGTATAATTCATTGGTGCAGGTATCCAATTTTGATTAATTATGACTAAAGACCATACATCAAAGAGATTGGAAGCGATATTTCAATTGAAATATTTATTTTGAATGGCTTGCGGATGTTGCCCTGGTATTCTTTGGATACAATGTCCAAACGTTTCAACTGCCCCTGCGGGAGTCATCTTCAGTGGCGTGGCTAAGTACTCTTCTTGACGTGTCAACTGAAAGTTACAATCGTAATCCAGTTTTGGCATCTGGGTTCATCTAGTTGTCCGTACACAGTAAGAAATACAGGAAACGAAGAAAAAGATTTTTATCAAAGGGATGATGTCAATGATGTGAAACTAGTCTTTTGTCGATAACACAGATGACGTTTCCATAGAAGAGTCTGCCATCCATATTTGACGATAATGGTTATGAAACTGTAAGCATTTCAGTACTGATGTTATTGTAATTATTCAAATACAACTGTTTCGGAAAATTCTTTGTAAATAATTGGCCTTCTCCATTATCCAATTCACGTAACGTACAGAACCAGAAATATACTTCCGAAATATAATGATGTACACCTATATCAAAGTAGAGGTAGCAGCAATATCTATCCCAGACTTGACAATCTTGATCTGATGTCAAAGGGACTGATTTCCATGGGTATACAGGCTTACAATAAGTTGCCAGTAAATATTAGAAATGAGACCACACTATCCAGATTCCGAAGCACCATGAAGAAATATTTACAAATTAATTTGTTTTGCGACCTCACTGAGTATTTCAATATGAAACAATAGTAAATTAGTGTATGTTTTCATATATTTGTGGCTATGCATATTGATTGTAAAATTGTGTAGGTTCCTTTTTTAGGATAAGAATTTCTTTATTGTTCATTGTGATTGACATGTTCTATACCCAATAGGGTTTCTGAATGAAATATATGATTGATGGATTGATTGATTAATTGATTAATTGATTGATTCATAGATTGATTGATTGATTAGATAAGAATATAATAGCTGAATGACAATAATTTTTTTGAGATTTTTGCTAAACGTAGAATTCAACAGAAAATGTAGGCACTGAGTCATTGGAGATTATGTACATTTCATTCTAATCAAACACAATATAACCTACTTTAACTAAAGGTGTCTTCATGCGTCATGATAAAATTCCATATTTTAATACGTGGGCTGTTTGCATACGGTAATTGTGCTCTGAGTCAGAAAAATGTTTGAGTCAACGACGATCCGGATTTGCTCAAAAGGGTCATAACTGGTGACGAATCAAGGGTATATGATTATGACATCGAAACCATAGTCCAATCGCCAGAATGGAAGATCCTAGGAGAGCCAAGACCAAAAAAACGTGCCAAGTTCGATCACGTGCCAAGTTCGATCTCAAAGTTTTGCTCACAGTTTTTTTCGATCACCGTGGCGTAATGCATCAGAAGTTCTTGGTACATGGTCGTATAGTTAGTGAGGAGTATTATCTTGAAAATGTGCGTCGCTTTCGATAACGACGAAATTGTCCGGTATTGAGGGGAAAACAATTTAAGGCTTTTGCATCACCATAGCGTACCTGCTCAGTCGTCATTACTTGTTCGTAATTTTTTGCCCAGAAATAACATCGCAATCATACCTCAGCCACCGTTTTCGACAGATTTGGCTTCCCTCGACTTTTTCCTGTTCGCAAGATTGAAGAGACCCACGAAAGGGTGGTATTTTGCGACGATTATGGAGATAAAAATCGAACGATGAGCTAGCTCAATGACATACAAAAAAATGCATTTCGGAATCCCTTCGAGGATTAGAAAAAATTATAGTGAATAAATAACTATTTTCAGAGGAAAATCAAAATTCACTTTATTTTTTGAACAAAGTAGTATTCTGGATCATTTTGAAATCTTTGAATTTATATGATTTTCAGAAAAAGACACGAAAAATTTCAACATACATACCTCTTTCTCAAAGAGAACCAGCCAAAACGCCACAAACATATAAAGTTGTAACTTTGAAGCCATCTTTTAGTGAAATGATTTCTTTCAATGCAATTTTGACTATATCGTGGATCGAAGGACAATGAAGCCGATTTTCGTGTATAATTAATAATAATCGGTATTTTTGATCACAAGTAGTTATCAGTGAAAATAATATATTTTGAATTAATTCTTATCAGACTCTCCACGGACTCACGTCAGTTTGATCGCAGTATGACGGAATTCATGTTGTATCATTCAGTGTGAATTTGGTAACCGAGTTTATTATGAGAATATATCAATATTCAATTGGAACCTTTTATAGCAACTTTATTATCGAAATATACACCTCATTCATTCATTCACAGTTGAAAGCGCCTGTCGGAAAACAACTACTTTCCTGGCTGTTATCATGACGATTATTGTAGTATCTATCTATATCCCTCTTCAGTGTAGAACAGATGTAACACTAACACTTCGTTCTCTCAAAACGCATAATGAAAATTATATATAATATGAAACCTTTTTACTCATACCGAAAAGTATGTTTTGACAGTTACGTGTATATAGCTCACGAAGCTAGTCACATATACTTTCATAAACAGGGAAAACCTCATCAAACATAGTGACAGGCATGATTATAACACCAGAAATAAAGATAGTTTATGGATAAGTGAATGTAAACATTCATTTTATAAAAAATCGCCTATTGTGGCAGGTAGCTATTTCTACAATAAATTACCCACGTCATTGAATAAAATTAAATCCCTCAGGATTTTCAAGAGTAAGCTGAGAGAGCTTCTGATAGCAGAATGCTTCTATTGATTTGAATGGATTCACAACTTATTTCGAGGTGTGAAAGAGCTGGTTATTATCTTATACAATCCGTTTTTAATTTGTTTTCATGTTCATTGCTTGTTTTCAATTTTTTATGTATGTATTTCTGTGTTTATGTGATTTTACAATGTGTATTTTTTTCATTTAACGACTCGTCTAATCTGTTAAAAATAACAGAAGAAAGTCTCAATAAAATTTTAATTTGAATTGAATTTGAATGTATCGCTATATATATCCATAATAATAAAGATTGCTATGCTAAAAATGGAGACAAATATCTACAGGAATGAAACAAGAAACAAAGATAATATTCGCATTGAAAAATTCAACCACACATATTTTACAAAATCAGCATAACATAATGAACTTACATTATACATTTATATATCAAATAATGTGAAAAATTATCGTACTCTCTCTTCAAAAAAAAAAATTGAAAATTCTGACAATGAATGCTTTCTACAGCCTTGAAGAAGGTGTGAAATTTTGCGAAGCTAATTTATTTCATTACTTGTATCTGTCTGTCTGTCTGTTTTTCCGTTAATCAGCTGTCGCCCCCATACGAACGACAACTCTCAGAAGTTGAAAGCTTGTGCGAGCTAAGGACTAACGAGGTCTTACCTTTTAACGTGTGATTCCTAACACGGTTGCAGAATCATCCCAGCTTCAACCAGATAAATTCTCTCGAGAAAAATATCTGGTCAAGGCGGGAACCGAACCCACGATCTTCCGATCGTGAGTCAGGCGCACTACCACCGCGGCCAATTCCAAAATAAGTATGTTCCTTGTATGAATATTGTACTTTCAATATAATCTATTGAATTTCAAATTTTTCAAAAATTGTTCTGCATAGCATTGATAATGTGCTACTAAGTGTAATATGACTTGCCATATCCAAGCACAGCTTGGCTATAAATCGTTAATAAAGAATCTGAATCTGAATCTAACGTTATTCCATCCATATTTCACAACATATGCGTGAGGTTTTTCTGAAGTGAAAGATATTTTGATGTAGTGGTAGCAGTTGAAAACAATACAGATATAACTAGGTGTCCATCGTAGTATCAGCCTAGGAACTAGTTGTATTTGTCAGAGTATACTATGTAGGGACACAGGGATAAGGAAATATTATAAATTTCAAATCAAAATGAGTATTTTGTCATCAAAAGTCGTGTCTGCTGTTGTAGAGCAATTGGATTCCTCTTTTTTCTCGAAACTTTTTTGATATACAATGGAAAAGGGTTGTATACAATTCGAGTATCTAAAGTAAATCAGCATTGATGGGTATATGTATCTGCAGAGTAGATGAGTGTAAGTCCACAGCACTTAGGCCATATGTGACCCATTGTACATCCTCCCGAGGAGTTGTCCTCATAGGTCATCGCCAATACTATCCTTCCCAGGAAAATGTATTCACTGGAATACATCTCCTTTATATCGGCAGGTGTAGGCCAAGACTCACCGAACACACACTCTCTCGTTGACGATAACTCCAGACACTCACATAAGACATGCCTGATAGTTTCATCTTCCTGCTTCATCTTCCACTAGCCCCATATTATGGAGGTGTTTCCTCAGTTGACAGTGGTCAGTCAGAAATCCTACTGTTAGGCGTATATTTTTTGGTCATCGCCAGCTATTTCTTGGGCGCCAGTTTCCCAGGGTCGCCCAGGGTGATCCTAGCAAGATTGCATCCTTTGACTCCTTCCCATCTCTTTAGGGATTGAGCAAGGGTGTGACGTTTGACTAGATAAGCAATTGTCGAAGTAATCAGGCCGTAGGTGCCACTGGGTCCTAAAATTCTTAGTCCAGCCGCTTCCTTGGCTAAAGAGTCGGCAATGCGAAAACCTTTACCCATGTCGTGCCCTTTAACCCACCTCTAGATGATGTTATCATCTACCGAGGCTTTCGCTAAATCTTGGTGGCCTTGATGGGTATCTAAAAGAGAATAATCGATAGATAGTTTTACGGAACGGACTCCATCATAACTGAAATCCATCTGAAAGTGTCACGAAGTAAGTAACTAACAACGCGGTACCCTCCGTATTTCTCGATTTCTTGACATGATAGGAGCCTGTTGATTTTTTCTTCTGGAAATCATATTGGAGATTGCTCAAGTATTGAAGCAATGTTTGTCAAATTTAAAATCTCTCCTAGAGATATTCTTCTTCAAAGTTGATCTTCACCTTCCTCTATGAATCTTGATATCACTGAATCCTGTATCACATTAGGTAGATGCATTTCTGGAGAACTTTGTCTATCACTATCAATTTATTCCATTCTCTTTCATGATTCACCAATGAATGGCATGAAATGAGTTTGAATTTTCGGTTGAAAATATAATTGAAGGTATTGATGGCATATCCAAATTGATCGGATTATAGAAATATATTCCAATTGAAAGCTGAGTACCTGGCACGAATTGTTATCTATTATTCTGAATAGGTATTCATCGCAATTTCCGATAACGGACTATTCCACGAATACTTCGATTAAACAAGGTATATTCGAATGAACATACTCTTGGTCATATTACTGCATGATCATCGGATCAAAAGTTATCAGAAGGTGAAAAAAAAAATTGCAAAGAGAAAAAAAAGTTTTCAGCAATTCCCTTTTTCACATTTTCAATATGCTCATGCTCATCCTATTCAATATTATCACTAATCCCCAATCCTAGTATGGAAAATAATGAATCAGTCCTCTGGTAAAAAGCATTTGAGTTTCTACCATCTCCACGATGTCTTCGCTGAGAAGATGATTCATTTGGTGTTTTTAGTTGGTATGATGCAACATGTTTATTCATTTCTTGTTTATTTAATGTTAGTTATCTTGAATCTCCTTGACATCAGTAACGTTGATATGTGATCCAAAATAAGGTGACTAAATGTATAACAATACAGGATAATGGCGTCCGATACGGTATTGATGAACCATAATTTAATGTCGAGTTATCTATTGAAAATTATGTCAGCAAAATCAGTTCTGATGATAGAAATGTTGCCGTCTCAATATTTGGGGATGAGTATATTATGTGAATTTTGCAGTCCAAAGAAGGAAAATACCATCTGGTGTCTACATCTATATAATTCAGGTAAGACTTGCCCTCTATTCAACACAGAGGTCAGATATGTGGTTACTTATCTAGGGAAAAACATTAGAAAATGAGTTCTCCAAGGAGTTCTCTTTCGTAAACTATTCCTCATTCATTTTCAGACATTCAATGAAACATCAGGTTTTTCTAAAAATATATTATAGAGTCTAACATATCTCGAGTTTGCTTCATCTACCCACTTTGCCTACACATTTCTCTGCATGGCTCTCCAGCTTCCTGAGAAAACGTTCCCTGCGAGTGTTGATCGGTGGTTATACCCTCTCGAATACTTCCACCATCAACGCTGGTGTTCCCCAGGGATCCATATTGTGACCAATCCTCTTTCTGTTGTATATCAACGACTTATTGAAAAAAAGATCCAATATATTGCTTCGCTGACGACAGCACACTTGTCTCGTCATTCCATTTGGATTTCAGGACATCGGCTACGGAGGCACAACTTCACCGGCAGCAGGAGGTTCCATATCCTAATAAGGATCTAGAAGTGATTTCGAATTAGGATGGAAGTAACCAGGTTCAATTCAATGCCATAAAAATACAGGCATCGGTTTTCCCCAAGAAGATAAATTCATCCGAACCGGATATAATAATGTCAGGTCTGACAATTCCGCTTTCTGCTTCGATAAGTTTGTTGGGGGTTAAAATGGATACTGATGTGTCTTGGCACAATCATGTCGCTGGAATTGTTAAGGCTGCTTCTCAAAAGCTTGGAACACTGTTTCGAACCAGAAAACTGTATACACCTCAGCAACTTAAGATGCTTTATAAAGCTCAGATGAGACCTTACTTAGAGTATTGTTCTCATATATCAAGCTCTGCCCCCAAATATACCCTAAAGTTGCTGGATTCCATCCAGAAAAGTCATCAGCCTAATTGGAGACGCGAACATCCCGTGCAATCTTGATAGCCTGGAACATCGAAGAAAGGTTGGAGATTTGTCTCTCTTTTATTATAGATACTTTCACGGTAAGTGACCCTATCTTTCATGTATTACATTACTCGAAAAATAGGCACAATGCGTACGGCAGCTCTTCGTCGGTATGCACTATGGGTTTTATTCAAAGAAACTTTTCTGTATCCTGAAATTTCAGCAATTGAATATTTTGTTTTATAAAGATCAATAAAATGAATGATACATGATCTGGTCGACTGTGAAACCAAACCTAATCAAATTTAGTTCTTTAAGCCACGGCAATGAAGTGAAACTATAAAAATCAGATATTCTGAAGGTACTTGACATTAACAAAATATTGGCTGGTAAATTGAATAAGGGTAGAAATCAAAATCTGAATGTGCTCCAAATTTGCCATTTAATCATGTGTAAAACAAATTGTAATAATTCAATAATGATCGTAGGTAAAAGTACGCTTTCATTTACCAAAGTATATTCCAGGTAAAAATATCAGGAAAAGTTTCTTTCACTAGTTCGGACTTCCATTGTCTACTATATGAAATGATTTGAAATCCCTGAAACAAGTAAAAAAGAATAATTAAAAAAGAATAGTTGAAAATAACAATTATATTAAGCAACAATAAACCTGAAATGAAATGATAGTGAAATAACCTACAAGTAAAAATATAATAATTGAATAAATAAAAAT